CTGTCGCCAAGTGCTTGCTCAAGGGGGATTTGTTGGGTTTTCCCTATGTCATAATATTGATAACAGTAAGGTCTAGACTCTAGACCTTACTTTGTAAAGTATCCTGAGATGACTTTTGTTGTGATTTGGTGCTATACAAATAAAATTTGATTTGATTTGATTTGATTTGGATGGATGGTCAGTCCTTGTCAGAAACTTGCAATATGCATAGAGGTGAGGACATGCAATTAGGCCTGTGTTCATCTTGATCACACAGAATTAATGGGTGTATTTGTAACTTCAAGTATTCATGCATGGATTTAAAGTGGATATGGTTTGATATACTGTTATATGAACATCTTTTACCTGTGGGTTCTTCTTAACTGGTCACATGGCAATGACAGCGTCATGATGGTTTTTGCAGCACTCTACAGACACATTCACTCGAGCCAAAGTTGAGTGAGCTTAATTTTCAAAAATATATATGCTTAGGAAAGAGCTGAACTGCTGTTGATTTATTCTGCAATTTAATCCTTAAGACCTTTCCCTTATTTGAGATTTTATCTGATTTCCTCAGTGCATGCTGCTGACTTCGAAAAATCTTCACACAGGAACCTGCCAGTCACTTCAGGTTCTCTGTCACTCAGTTGGAATTCAAAGAGATCTATAGATCACCAAAAATAAACCATTGTCACAATTTTTATGGGCTCATGCAGTTAATCTTACAACACTGACATTCATCTGCCCTTCAGGCTCAGCTTTAAGTAGATAAAAATCACAGTCTTTTCTTTGTTGCACCTGTCAACAGTGGCTGAAAATGACACCAGCTCCAACAGACTGTGGTTAATTAAACAGTGCCACATGTAGTTCTTCTATGTTACACAAAAAAGTGGGGAAGAAAGTTTAAAATGAAAGGAGGCAAAGGAGAGGAGTAGGGGAGATTTCAAACAGATGAGAAAGATGGATCTTTGTAAAATGTGTCACAGCCACTGTTGGCTATAAAGTAGATTTAGTCAGGGCCTTGTAGCCATGAACGTTAGCTTCCTGGAGCCTCTGCTGGTTGCCAAAAAGTAGCATATAACCAGCAGAAAACAGCAAATTGCTACACTTTTGATTTTGTACATATTAAACAAACCAGATATATCCTGATTATTGATGGCTAAACTTACTACAGGGCCTCTATTACCTGGGGCTATGCACAGTATGTTAAGCTACACTAAACGGCTGCTAGCTGCAGCTTTCTCTTTAATGGACAGATACAGTATGTGAGTGGCAGCAGTATTTCCCAAAATGTCAAACTATTCCTTTGGCCTGCCAGTAAGATACTTGGTAGAATGGTGGCTGAATAACCAGGATGATTTTGCTTCTACACCAGCTGAATGGTTGTCCATCTAGCATTAACTGATAACATGCCAGGTTAAAAGTTCAACATTGTGGCTTATTTGTTCTAAGCCTGGCTTAGAATAATGACTGGAAATCTGGGAACGCTAGTTGGGTACATCCCAGAGTGAAAAGAGTGTATCAACATCTCTAAAGCTTAACAGCTTAAAGCTGTTTAACAGGTTGAATCTGTACTTTAACAGAAATGTCTGTGATCTTTTGGGGATATAGAGTCAGTTACAGATGTGTGACAAATTCACAGACATGACTTTGACATGAATCATTTGATTTCAATTTCTGAAAGAACACGAGGCGATATACAGTATTTCCCAAAATGTATTCCTTTAAAAAACGTCTTCACGGCGTGTGTCCTATGTTTTTGATTGACGATTAAAAAGACAACGACCTAAAGTTTGTTTCTGTAGTGACTGTGACTTGTTTTATTTAAGATCCAGCTCCTGCAATAATATATTATTTTATTTTGTCTTATAGGACTGCTACTGACTGCCGCGTTATCTTTTCTATAATTCTACAAAAAAAAAATTACGTGCCTAAAAAGATATGATTTGCATCCATAGTAAATCACAGTTCTCCACCATAAATGTGCGTTCACAACATTAAAACAGTGCGATCTCTGCAGCAAACATTTAGAGATGATTTGTAGTTGACTGCCCACATTAATCCTGGAATTGACTGATAGCAACACAGAAGATATCCGACTAAAACAAATGTTAATGTTACATCTACGCCCAGAGAGGTTTTTATGTTAAATCATCCTGCCCTTTCATACGCCGTGCGGCTGCAGTTTGTGCGTCTGGATTGTAGATGAATATGATTCAAAAAGCTGTTTCTTCCAGGAAGCACTAATGTCAGAGACAGAACGTTACTGAATGCAAGATGGTGGTGAAACACATCAGGCGGCTAATTCAGCTCCTGAACAAAAACAGATTTTGTCTGGTGGAGGAAACTGTTTTACTGATCAGCACCTACAGTTTGTGATCCACAGATGGTTTGGTTACGTCATGTCCATTCGTACGTCTTCCACATTATCGTTTATTTTTTATTCGTTGATGAAAATGTAAAACATTTCATCATAGGTCTCATTATCAAACCTCACTTTCTATTTAGTTTCACTTTCATCCTGAAAAATAAGTCGTCAACTAATATTCATCATAGTTTTCATTAACAAAATAAACACTGTTTGCAGGAAAGCCAGTGGCTGGACAGTGTCTCTCTGCTGATTAAGGACTCGTTGGAAGGTGACATGATTGACAACCTCTCCGGTTCAGTTTTCCACCACTACTGCTCTCCTCCTGTCTGCAAGGACTGTAAGAGTCACCCACAAGAGGTCAGTGGGGCCACACACACACACACACACACACACACACATACATACACACATCCTTCTCTTTCCATGTAGCCAGCAAGCTATAAAGACATATCCCAGGTTGTTGGCCCTGAGGAAAGGTGGTGTAGGGCAGAAACATGTTGGTGGTCTCTTTTTTTTTAGTCATGTGGTAATAAAAGCTTCTTTTTTTTCTACCAGTGAGCACTGCACATTGATTTTTGCATTTTTAAAATTATTCACTCCTACTTCTGGAGTAGCAGCTTTGTCTTTACTCCCACTGGATCCAAATAGTGCTGTGTTATTTGTATTTTACTACCTCTTACTGCTCTTTCTTCTTTCCTCCTTTTATCCACAGGTAAGCGTTTTTTCACCTTTAGCTCACAGTTGTCATATAAAAGCAGACAGGATTCACCTGAGGCAGCACACAGTTGTCAGTCGCATAAAATCTGCATCATCTAGAGCAAGTGACTGCCGCTTGATTCCTGTGCTTGCTAACGCACAGACCAACAGACAAGGAGACACACACAGTTGCATGTGTAAAGCCCAAATATAAAACATCTGCACATTCACATGAGCTTTTGCTGTCACTTTAACCCACATACACAAGTGTAAGTGAAGTACACACATACAGTGTCAGTGCACATAGCAACACACTAGTCTATACTGTATGTCAATGTGACATTGCACACACATTCAGAAGTAAAGCTACAGGTATGTTTTGGTTCTGAAAAGTACCATTCTCCCACATGTACCATAAAAGAAATATAAAATGGTACAGTATTTAATAGCTTGAGGTAGACAGCTAACACACTAACTGAGACATCTAGTTGGGTCACAGAGAAAATGTGTGTCCAGGTAAGCGAAGACCCATGTTACAGTGCTCAACTACAGTGTTTCTGCTTGGCGAGACGCTCTAACAAGCATATTGAGTTTCTGGTCACACAGAAGCCTTCGCGAGTGGGAAGCCAGTGTCTCCTTCAGTCTCCACCTTCTTCAGAGCAAAAGTAGAAGTTAACAGCAGTAAGAAGTGTAATGTGGGGGAGGCTTCTTTAGTATTGCTAAAATCAATCTATGTTTCAATCACGACAATTATGCTGAGGACGAGCTGATAAAAGTCCATGTTTTTAACCCCGCAAAGTTAGAAAAAAATGTACAGTATAGTATCTAATAATAATTTTAGAATCCAGTTTTCATCCTGCTGTGCATTATTTTATTTTATTTAAACAAAATCTGATACAGTAAAAACCCAGAATTATTATTATTATTATTATTATTTTGCTATAAAAGTAGAAATAGCTGCTATATATCCAATGGTGTGTGGCTCATCAGGCTAAATTCCCACCATATTCATTTCTGTACCTGGTAATGTTCTGGGAGTCGTTGCACAATCACCCAGTGTTTTTCTCATAGGTCCAATCACACATTTCACCACCAAATAATTTATGCTCTGAACCTTGTTTCCCAACATTGGGTCACTTGAGACACACAAACACATATGAGCACATCAGTCACAAATAAGACCAAGAGCCAATTTCAGCTCAAAGCGGAGGTGATCCCATGATTTCATCCAAATGTACGGGCAGAATCCATTTCTCCATCTGTAGCTGTGTGTGTTTGTCATTGCACGAGTCACAGCAGCCTACTGTTGCTATGTTTTAGATTATAGGCTGCATGTAAAGAAGTGCGACCTAACGGGGTGGCTCTTGTGCCTCTGGCATTAAGTTATTATCCACTGTATATACATAATGACTACTTCACCCAGGATCTATATACAGCTGTAGCAGAATATTTGCTTTTCTCTCTGTGGGCTTAAAAAGTATTGGCATGTATAGGAGGTTGGCTGGAATACAAATGTGACTAATGCGATGTGATTTTTATTCCCGATACAGTACACTGATCTTTTCTTATTCTCCTTTCACCTTCTGTCCCAGTTATTCTTTGTTCTGTCAACACTGAATATTAAAGCTGAACTTTGTGTTTATTTGATCTTTTCTCCCCATTGTAAGGTGAAAATGTTGGATGTATCCTATGGGTCCATCTCAGGAAATATATCTTTTTCATCTATTTTATGATATTTTGTTAATCACAGTGAGTCACATGACATTATATCACCATTTTCTAATTATCTAATGTGTATTAGTCACAATAAATCATGTGTTACCAGTTAGTTAAAGAAAATAATTTTAGTTTTTGTGCTAATACAGATGTTAAAAGAATAAACTACATCATACTACTTTTTTCTTTAGACATACATTGATGTTGTGCATTGCAGCCTCTGTTTTTATGACTTAATCAGTAATAATAAGTAGTAAACTTTACATAAATCTCATACTGAGCATCTTTTTGCTTGGGCATCTCATTCACCCTTGTATATCTTCTAAATTTTCTTCTCCACTAACCACTCTCACATGCTTACATCCAAGTCAGTGGGCCACATCTCCTCTTATTCTGATTTCAAGAAGTGGTGGCATCGCATCCTGTTAACAAATTACACCGTAGACGCAGTCTGACTGGCTCCTTTGTATCTGTGGGACAGATCCGACTGGCGGAGGTGGAGCAGGCATCTCTGATGTCAGAGCAGCTGTCAGACAAGTCATCGTCTCTGGCACTTCCTGATGACCTCAGCCTGGACGAACACAGCAGCTACCAACTGCTTGTCAGAGACAACCAGGTGCTTACACACGGAAACACACACACAAATGTACATTCATTGGCATTTCACACCTGTGCTTGCATGTACGAAAACCCATACCATACCTGCACATGGCGCAGGCTTGGTGAAAATCCAGTATTATCACTATCTGCAGTGCATAGAACTGGTTTGTGTTTTATAACCGTATACTTGCATAAGTATTGCTATATTGTCAAACATACTGTATATGTACAACCACTGTCTACATGCATTTTTGTACTTGGGGCTACATCCTGTATGTCTGATGGTTTGAACTTGACCACTTACTTTTAGTGAAGTTATTTTAAATGCTAAAGCACAAAATAATATTATTTTATAATGTTCTTCCAACTTTGTGGCAGCAGTTTATGAAAGGCCTTTTCCTGTTTCAGCGTTTCTTTTGGTTCTTCAAGTATATTTTGATGCCAATACTTTTGTACTTTTACTTAAGTAACATTTTGAAAGCAGGACCTTTATTTGAATATTTTAACTGTGGTACTTTTACTTAAGTAAACAATTTGAGTACTTCTTCCACCCCTGTCCACTGACCTGCACTGACATCCAACACCTTTGGGCATTTTAATGTCTATACTGTTCAGTCACATAGAGGTGCCCACATACTCTTGGTACAGTAAAGCATTAGTGCCACTGTACACACAGTGCATGTTCAGGATAGTCAGTGATACATACTGCATTTGTGGGCCTGCATGTAAAATCATATTATACTTACACCAGCTGTGCCTTAATGGTGTTTTTGACATGTGAAGTAAACATTTACCTAAAATAAAATATATTACCCATAGAAATAACACGCAAACACACACACACACACGTGCACGGTGTATGTCTTTGGGGCTTTGGGGAGTCACACATCATCTTATCACATCCCTGCCATCTTAATAATCATCATTAATTACTGTTTACACGCTGCACTGCCTGATTAAAACACCTGCCTCCCTCCATGCTCTGGATATGAGCAAGCTGGGATGTGTATGAGTGTTCAGTTTTAGGCTGGGGTTAGGGGGAGGTTTGGGGCCTTGCATTTACCTGTGATGATTAAGGTTAGGGTTTGGGAAATGCATTATGTCAATAGCTGTCCTCAGAAAGATAACTATACACCGTGTGTGTGTGTGTGTGTGTGTGGACCTTTCATATCTCAGCTCAGAGCAGTTCCACCTGGTCTGTTTCATCACTGTGTTACTGAAGGGCTGTGCATTTGATCCAGGTTTACAACCAACAACAACAGCTGAACAATTTGAAGCTTTGATGCTTGACGTTTCTTTCTTTTCACCACATCCAATTTTAATCTGACTTGTACAAATGGATAAAAGAAGGGACATGAAAAGGGAGCTTTATGAAATTGGAAACAAATTGTACTTAGTTTTCCATTATGACACAGGGAAATGAAAGGCTTCAGTTTGATCTTTCTCGCTCCAGTGAATATCAGTGCACTTGCATATCATGCTTATTCTTTTTGCATCTTTGCCTCTTGTCTCCTTCCCTTTCACTTGCCCCTCTGTCTTCACTATCCTGCATAATTTCCCCGTCTCCATGTCAGAGAGGCAGCAGTGACTCCCACAGTTCGGAGGAGCTGCTCGCCCATGAGGGCTACCGAGGGCTTTGTCCCTCCAGCTTAGGAAGTGAGGAAGGGGCCCAGGAGGTGTTTGAGATGTGCACCCATCCTCACTTAAATTCTCCCTCACTGGAGCAGCAAAGTGCAGCACATTGCACAGGTACCAAAATACACGCAGTGGTAGTAAAGCATGTCAAAGAATGTATTGATTTAGTACTGTTATTCAGAGTAAATGGATCTGTGATGCCATGACAGTTTCTGAAATAAACAATTCCTCGTAGGTTGTTGTCGTGTTCCAAAACAATTTAGCTTAATTAGATTTTCTCTGTATGTCCAGACCCCCACCCCTGACTTCACAAGACTATTTGTGGTAGCTGTAGTTGTTGACATTTTTTATTGTTGTTGAGTGAAAATGGAACCATAAGATGAAAAAAAGCAGTATGTTGAACTAAAACTGTTTTGTACCTTAGCACTAACAAAACTGTACAGAACTATAACCCTCCCTTTTCAGATGGTGATGGCGGAGGTGGTGGAGGGTCTTCACACACCTTTCACCCTCCAGCTGACTTTTTCCACCCAGCAGCTGCAGCTCATCCAGGCAGCCCTGGGAATGGCGTTAGCCCAGGAGACAGAGGGTCATCCAGGTTGGCCTTCCCTGCCTCCTGGGCCTCTCTTCGCTCACCTGGAGCCAACAGCAGACCACTGAGCTCTCAGGTACTATGGATTCATGTGTGTCTGGATGGTTGGGCGCATAGACGAATGACAAACCGGCATCAGTATTTCAGTACAACACATCAGAGACATAGTGGAACAGTGTAAATAGACAATCCCTGAGCAATGGACCAGCGAACCAGAGCTGTCATGCATCAAACACGCTCTGGCATTCAGATGGGATTTGCCAAATGCTATAATGTTGAATGAGGTTGTGAACTGAAAGCTTCATACTGTTACACAGTAACAAAGACACAGGTCATCGACACAAAATACCGACTTAAAAGTATTTTATTATAGTTTGTTGACACTAAACGAGGTCCACTGTGCTTTTGGAAAAATGTGGCAGCACTTAATTTGATTACAAATGAATTTGTGTCTGCAGAGCGATGAGTTGATCTGAGATCAATTGTGTGGTTTGTCATAAACTGAAGACCTTGGAATGGCTAATCAGAACCGAATAGATAAATCACTGTATTTCTAATTTGTGCACATACAGTAGCTGTGACACTTCCCACCCTTCACTGAAGTACTACTGTAGTATGAAATGATTTATTCATAATGAAAGCTTTCATCTTGCCCGTATTGAATATAACACCTTGCCTCTACTGACTCCTGCATGAAACAAACAAGAATGAAAATGCTCTTATTTTAGTTCTATTTCCTGTGTAACCATGGAGACAGATTTTCTTTGTTTCTCTCCTACCTGTTTGGTTTGTTCAGCTCGTGCCTGAGTGCCTCTGTGATCCTCAGCTGCTACAGTAATGCTCTGCGGCACTCAGTTGATTAGCCTGGCCAGCCCTGAGCCTGACACCAACTCTGTGCACGCTGCTGTTCTCGGCTCACGATCTTCACACGTCTCTCATGTCCCTTTTCCTTGTAGATTGACTTCATTTCTTTACGTCTTTCTCTGGTGTTGTCTCTCCACACCACTTCTCTCTGTCTACTCTCTCTGTCTTTTTCTGCCAGTTCTTCAGTTTTTTCCTTTTTCACAATCTTTTACTCTCCCCTGTGTTCTTGTACACTGAGTGCATAGCATGTGGCAGTGCCAGGATTAGAAACAATGACTAACACCCTCCTGCCCATGTAACATTTTGAATGAAACAAATGCTATATTGTACAGTGGGTGGATTGTGCCAAGATAAACCTGAAACCAAGGATCGCTCATGGCCAGGCCGTTCTGTTGCACCAAAGCTTTAAACCTAGATTCACGCTAAACATCTTAGATTTTAAACCTTTCCTTTTATTCTAAGCCAAGATAAAATTCTACCCTGCGGCTTCACCTTTTTCAAATCCAATTTAAACTCAAATCTCTGTTTAGCTTTAACTGTTGAGGTGTTTCTTTAAAATCTTTAACAAATGCTGCATTGATAGGCTGTAGCGATGGAGTGAAACCATGATTAACATTTTTCACTTTATTTATAGAGAATGTGAAGGTACGTCAGGCCGTGTTGAATGTTGCAACAGGGGCACCATTTTGAAAGATAAGTGCTGTATTTGCCTTCATACATTCTTGTTTTGTTTGGCTAAAAAGTTGCTTAAATTGAGTAGATCTCGCTATACTATGGTATTTCAGAGTAGATAACCTTAGCTGACTGTAGCTAACTCATGGTGGACCTAGAGATCCCGTCAACGAGAACTACAGATTGAAAAATGACTCTGCACACTGAGCTCTCAGTTCGGGAGCTAATGGCACATTTACCTGAAATTCAACATGGCATGATAACAACTTCACATTCTCTGTTGGGGCTGAAACTAATATGCAACCTTGGTTTAAATTACTGAATTGTATTGCCTGATTTAATTTTAATTGTGCAACCAGATCTTAGTTTTAATTCCCACAGTTTTCTCTTGCCTATTCAAGACTAATTGCTTCCTTTCATTGTTTTCTTTGTGTGCAGCACCCAGCTCACAGTGACTCCTCCTGGGCCACAGGCAGCTCAGAAGGAAGCCTGCAGACTGCACTAGATGAAGGGCTCAGCTTCAGCGTCTCCCCACCTCAAGATCTGGTTCTCCCCATGCCTCTGCTCTGCCACCTCCCCAGCCACCCCTTGCACCCTGAGAAACCAGTCACAGGAGACCAGGATCAATCTTTACTAAAGAGACGCAGTACGACATTTGCCAGGGGGCACCAGAAAAGCCAGAGCAGCTGCGGTGGTGGCAGCGCCAGTCATGGTTGTCCCCGGCAGGACTCCATGGACCCCTCAGATGAGGATGTGGGCGCGGGGACAGGCTGCCGCCAAACCTTCAACAGTGAACACTTGTCAGAAACACTGAACAGCCTTTCACTAACGTCACTGCACTCCCCGAGCACTCTGGCAACCCAAATGGTGAAGAAATGTAACAGCACAGGTTCACTGGACCAGACCAATCTATCTGCCCGGAGTAAAGATTGCCGCCATTTTGATGACATAGGCGCCCATGGTTACTTGTCCAACCCCTGGATGGAGGGAAGGGTGCAAGGTGAGGAGAAGGACAGTGATATCACAGGCTTCAGCATGAAACGCAGCAGCCGGCCCACAGATACAGCCTCTAGGAAAGATAGATGAAACACTTGTTGCCTCTCTGTAGTAAAACTCTTTAACTATTTGCATTTCTCGACCTTGAACACAACAGGGAGAGACTTTTAATACCTGCCCGGTGTCCAGTTCTGAAATTCTCTCTTGTCTTTGAATCATCTGTTCTCTCTCTCTCTCTGTCCTCCTCCTCCTCCTCCTCAGATCTGGCTGCTTGCAATCAGTCATTTCTCAAAAGATTACAGTTGCTTCTGAGGTTTGACATCCTTTCTCTTTCACAGGTGTGGTTGCTTTTTGAAAAGACTTAATGAGAATGAGAGGGGGCTTAGTTGTATAGTATAACTAGGATCAGCCTGGCAATCCTGGGCTTTACATTTCAGCCATGCTGAAATGCTGAGTAGTCAGAAAAACATTAGAAACACAGGCCTGAAAATTACAGTGACTGACAAACATCACCAAGGTGAACTTCTAGAAAAAAAATAAATTTTCTTCAAGGAACAGGGCTTGCTTGACCCAATGTGCCCTCAACCTTTGTGCAGAAAAAGTGTTGTTAACAGTGGACAAATGACAAATTCTGAAGTTTCTTTTGAGGAAGAACTGAACCATGTACAGCTATTTATTTATTTTTTGTAATATCCATCGCTAATAGTAGCATCAACCAGCCATGTTTCCTCTTTAGGAGATTTGATGGGTAACAGAATGTTGAAAGGTTGTTTATTTTCTCTATTCTTTTTCAACTTCGAAATGTTGAAGCTGTGTGAATGTAGACGCCTGTTGTTGTTTGTGAGGAAGAAGGAAACAAGGACAAAGAGCTTGACTAATCTGAAATTTGACAAAGGGCCTTTTTTTTTGAACAGAACAATGGAAATGTGACTGCTGCTGAGAATATATGTGGGTTGTTATTGGAGGCTATGGCCACTTTTAGAGTGGACTTGTGCTTTCCACATACCCATGAAAGGGCTAAAATGTACTGAGTGCAGACCTGGGCCAAATACTACTGGCAAATAATCTTTTGCTATCTGCTGTAATATAGCATTTGAAAGTGTCTTTAAGAGACATTCATTACTTTCAAAGACTTTTCTGATGCTTATAATATTTCCCTCTAAGACAGATGTGGCACTGAAATGAACAGTGGAAAAAAATGTTAAATTTCTTTCAAGATTCAAGATTTTTTTAATTGTCAATTCACTATATGTGCAGGACATACAGAAAAATCAAAATACTGTTTCTCTCTCTCCTAATATTCAATGCCCATACCATTTAAGAAACTAAATAGAAAATGAATGATATATTTAACAGATTTAAACATAAAAGACAATGAAATTATTAAAATATGCTTTGCAAGGCAAATAAACCAAATGTTCTAAAACTATTATGAAACATTTAAAGTATCCATTTACAGGGGTAAGAAACAGTTTGATGCCATCTGGTTTCCCAGCTTCACCCCATGTGAGACTAGCAGTCTATGTAGCTTAGCCTGGAAACCAAACGAGCTAATACACTCATTGATTCACGTTTGATGGAGGAAGGGTTGTTCACTGTGTTAAATATGCTATTGACAGTGTTGTGTTATTGAATTATTTCAGTGTGTAAACTTCTGTCAGCATGCTAACTACCTATAATAGTGATTATCCCTGCTGCAGGACACTGGGAATAATAATAGTCCACCACAATGATCCAGATTGAACTATCTCAAGAACTGTGGATGGGCTGCTATGAAGTTTTACACCGACATTCATAGGGTCCATAAATATATAGTGCAACCATCACTTCAAAGTTTTTACTTAAAGTATTTATTGAAACGTCTCAGACATTCATTCCCCTCAGTGTTCCTACAAAACCATCGTCATATGAACTTAATTTGTCTAGCACTTTGATTTATGACCAAATACTGTCTTAAAAAAAGCCTCATCTGTTCTGTGTTTTAGTACAAATTGTAGTAAAACTGAAAACTGGCTAGCTAGTCCTGATAGGGTAGTGACCGTGAGTCACTATGCTAACGTTAGCTGTATCAGTATTGTTCAGCCCAGTACACCAAGCATGTGAAAAGTGGAGCAGTCTATGCTCCTGTTGGTCGGCGTCTCCCCAACATGTCATAGACAATGAGAAAAATTCTGACGTGCTAGATTTTATGTCGGGATTTTGTGAAGTGTCACTGAGGCAGCATCGGTTATCATTTACTGTGACACACAGGATCGATTGTCCTATTCTACATGTTTGTCAATTCCAGTGTCACTGCAACCATTGGGTCAGGTTGTTGTCGGGCCTAAACCACGTAGTCTGAACTGGGCATAAGGTATTTCCCTTCAGGAGCCCAAAATAAGGCGGGAGAGATTTACCACAGCAGCGACAGAGGGAACTGAGGCTGAAATATAACGTCAAAAGATAGCAGGTGTAAAATTTTCAGCCCTGCTGTCAGCATGTGTACAGTACACAGGCTTTCAGATCACACCGTTAAACCACATTAAAGTTCAGTCACCATCAACCTAAGCTTTCTTAAGCTTTTCTTCTACGCTCACTCTGCTCCACACGTGTGAAATACACAGCTGTGGTGTGCTCATTTACATCACCAGTGTTGGTAGATAGCTAAACTGAAAACTTGCGGTGGCGCACCTCAAAATAATTTGTGACTGGTTTAGTAAAGATTCTTTCTTCTCCCAAACTGTTGCCATTATGAAACCACACTGGGCCGTTGGTTCAGATTTCACTTCAGCTGCAGAAGATCCAGTTCAGAAGATAGTCAAAAGAATTTAGTTTAATTTTGTACAAGCTGTCACCTGGTCGAGTTGGCACGCACATGACACCGCTCAGTTTGAAAATTAAAAGAGCAAACACCCAGCCTGCTGCAAGTTTGTTTGGTACAGCCAGTTTTATAATATTCTTTTTTTATTATTATTATTATTTATCGGTGGTATTGTTGAGTTGCATTTCATCACGCTGAGATGTTTCTAATATTTTGTCCACCTGATTTAAATCACTGCAGTAAATGAAATCATGTAAAGAGAAGCTCTAAATTATTCATGAGTAGCCTGCTTCTAAAACATTTTCAGCAATAACTGAACACCATGAATTTAATGAAGGTTGGACTAATGGCAAGGCTGTTACATTAGACTGCTTTAGTTTTAATAAGGTGTACCTAATAAACTGGCAACTGAGTGTATTGGCATTCTGCTCTTTGGAATGGGTCTTTTTCAGTATTTGCCATTGCTATACGTGTCAAAATGTACTTGAACAGTTTTTAACATGTTGTTTATCATATGGGAAACAGATCTTTTAAGTCAGTTTACTGTCAGATTGCCTGAATTTCAGAAGATAAGATCTGTAGTTTTTGTCTGCTGCATTAAACCCAAATGATTATTTGACTCAGGTTTGCTTGAGTGTAGCAAGAAATTAGAAAATACCCTATGCTATGGCAAGCAATGCAGTCCAAACTGGTGTGTCATTGAGACACTGTTTGTCAGATATTTTGATCCATCACACAATATTCTTGTTTCACAGTCTTTAAAATCTAGAGCAGGTAGACCTCAGGTGGATCTAGAGTATATGCACTCACACATACTAACAGACATACACGTTGTCCCGCACATAAACAGCCACACATATCATACAAAGATGTCAATGTCCAAACACTGCAGGGTGTCTCTGTGGTTGCTGGAGAGGAAACAGAAGACACCTCAGTGTTGATCTCTTTCTCTGCTTTGTCTTCATTCCCATCCTTATTCTCATTTAGTTGCATTATCTCCCTTCCACTGGGAAGCTGCAGTATTAAATGACTACTGACTGCCCCCCTCTATTTGAGATATGCAATATGCTCCATGTACAGTTAGATGTATGAGACTCCTAAAGACAGGCAATATGGTGAAAGAAGATTATATGTATGAGTCCATGTGTTAGAATAAAGTGTCACAGAGATTCAATGAAAGGATGATGATGTATTCATGTATTCCAGATGTGCGAGTGTGTTTTTCTCTTTTTGCCTCCACGTCCTCTGACCTGATTTTGTTTCTCCGAGAAGCATGTGGGTTTATTTCTTTCTATTTTCTTAATGTCATTCTGGTGTCATATAAAGGTGAGATAGATTTTCAACTTCCTCTGGCTTCTGAAGTTCTTTCACTTTACTTTGTTGTCAAGGTTTTGTCAGATCTCATTGGGGCCAGTTTCTTCTTTAGCCACAAAAGGCTTAATTGATCTGATCCAGCCGTGTCCCTCATTGTATGGCTACATGCAGAATATCTAAAACTATTGCTAGTGATGTATCTTGCTTAATTAAATTAAGCTGAATGGATAAGACAGTATGAGGTTTAACTTCCCTAAGTATAACTTTAGTTAGGGAACTGACGGTTTTTCCTAGAAGAAGGTAAGTCCTATTTTTTCTGTCTTTCTTCCATGCCTTTGAAGTTCCTCACTTGAGCACGTGTCACAAAGAGAAAGCTGTCTGGCTTGAAGCAGCGTTCAGCTTTAAC